CTCACGTCCTCACCTTCATTAGGGTGAGATATTGTAAAGAACAAGGGGCTGTTTGCACAGTGACCCTGGTCATCAGTCTCCAAAGTCATTTTGTAAGGACGAGTGATTATTTGTCCTCAGGCTTCTTCAGCTGCTGACACTGTACAGTGGATAGTAACTTTGGACTAGTGGTCAGAATGTATATGACAGGCTGATGAAAACTGTGACAGTTGGTTTCTAAATTAAGCAGTATTTTTGTAAATGTATGAAACAGAATTAAATTATTTATCTCCTTGAAGCTAATTTCCTAAATTCCTGGACAATCTCTTTATATAATTGTTAGCTGCTTTGAGAAGAATTGCCCCTTTTTTAAATTTATTTTCTTATTTAAATATAATTACTTCCCTGAGTTCTTTAGTGTAACTGCCTCTTGTCAACTTTAGTTTTAATCTGTCTTTACTGGTGATATAAAATATATAATTTGGGTACCCTTCACCACAGATTTTCTACAGTATAGTTTGGGCTAACCATCTAATTTTGGCTAACCTTAAGCTATATATGGTTACTAACTTTAGCTTAGTTTTAAGCTATTTTGTGGCTATTTTTCTAATTTTAGGTTATTAATTATGGCATAACTGTTTTTTTTTATATGGATAATTTATTATATTCAAATTTGAATGCTATTAAATCTGGGACATTCTTATGCATTCTAAGATCAATAGCTAACCTGTGGCCCGCGGTGATGACGCTAATGATACGTGTGACACCAATGATGGTGTGGCTATTCTTAGCTCCAGTCAACCTTCAGTTCAGGTAGAGAGATTAAACTCCACTGAGGAGTCAACGGTACCGGCTCCGCCCTCCCCCCGTCCCCCCTCTCCACGCCGCCTCCAGGCACAATGTGAAGCTAATGAATCATGAACGCACTGTGTGACTATCATCATCTGATCTCTTGGTGCTCATGTGTACAAATGCCCGTAGGACGACTGAGTGTCGCACTACACAACGACTCTGTCGCTCATTCAGCCGCGTGGTTTAAATTGGCCGTTGTGTGAGCAGTGTGTGAACGAAGGACAACGCCACAGCGCTCATTTACCAGGAAGTGATATACGGTATCTGTACACAATTAATACTCTTATAGAGTTACACTTTGTAACGAATACAACACAGTTTTCACTGGACTTTCACTGCAAAGGACGCACGTTAGCATCCTTTACAAAAAACAGCTAAAGCTACAGTGGTGCTCTGGGATGGAAACAAGAACAACAGATAACTTACCTACTTGTATGTGTTTTCAGTTCCGAGATCTTACATGTCTCTGGGAAGACCGGTACACCCATCTGTCTTCAAGCCTGCAAACGCTACACCCATCTGTCTTCAAGCCTGCAAATGCTACACCCATCTGTTACCAGTCTTCAAGCCTGCAAAAAGTGGGACAGGAAAAGTTAATTTTACAGCTGCCAAGTAGGACTTGATGGTGAAACCTACATTAATGATGGCCACCTACTTTTCGCAAGTGACTTCCTCAAATGGAAGTGTCGCAACTATAGGTTAACGGTGGTTCCATAGTGTATTTATTTTAATGTTTAATGTTGTATTTTTACTATAATGTCACCAGCTTTAGGCTGTTTTTCTTTGTAACAATCGCTACACTACTGCCTTACTACACTAGTATAACTAGTTTCCTATTGGACAGTCGTGTTGTCAGTCACACGTGTTGACTAATCATATGTGCTGTTCCGGTCACGCTTTACCTTCTCTGCCCCAGTTTTGATCTCCTTCTCTGGCTACGTCACTTTCTTACGTACAGTATCATCTATGGGTTCGACTCAGTCTTGTTTACACTGGGGAAATTTGCTGAATGTGCAAGTCTTTCTCTCTCACCCGTCTCTCTCTCTCTCTCTCTCTCTCTCTGGGCTCCTTTGGGTTTTTCCCAAACACGTCTTATGCAGCAGGCATTAACTGCTGTCTATAATTAATGAGAGTGGCTTTATGGCAAACTCCCAGGAGAACTCTTCAGGACAACCCAACATCCCACCCTCTCACCCTCCCCTGGAGGGGGGCAGTCACAGATTGCTGTTGCTGGTTTGACACGGCAGTGAATATTATCATTTGTCTGATGAGTACTGAGTACTGATACCAAGAATTGTGTTTTAATAATGGGTGTGCCAGCTCAATTCAGGGTCCTAAGTTGTAAAGAATCCATTTTTTTTCCTCAGTTGTTCAGGTCAGATATGAAGGCTTCAGTGTTTCCTCCTTGTTTCCTGTTCCACTACAGATGTCACCAGTCAGCTGTCAGTCACCGTTTACTCACAGTGACAGTCGATCAGCGTTCGCAGTCAATAGTTGCCACTTGATTCACTCCAAGTATCACCTTGATTTGATTTATTAAAAAGACACTTGTCAGAGCGCAGAAGACAAAGGCTCAGCAGTGGCAGCAGTTACAGCCGGAGTCATCTTGGATCATTTAAACACAGTGAATCCATGTTAGTTCATGCTCAACGTAACACTGGCTTCCGGACCCACGTCCGCTTTTTTAACCGCCGAGCCACCACAAATAAAATAATTTAAAAAAAAATAAAAATAAATAAATAATTAAAATTAAAATTAAAATTAAAATTAAAATTAAAATTAAAATTAAATTAAATTAAAAATATTGTTTGTAATAGTTTTGTCATCTGTCGGACCTTAAATAAAAATAAAATAAATCTTATTCATTTTGACACCAATATATAAATAATAAACATTAAACAGACGCCAGGTTTTTATCAAACTCTCGGTAGACGTCAGATCTGTTAATTCTAAACCTGTGGACGACAACAGCTGGAAGAAGATGAGGGACATTTAGGAGGTGCTGTAGTTTGTAAATCTTGTCAGTCTGAGTGTAGGCGTTGAGGGTCATTTGTCAAGGTTATTGTCAGATGAGTCACTGAGCAGAGCAGCAGAGTTTCTCTGCTGGATCTCCAAAACAACGTGATTTAACAGGAATTTTTTTTTTTTTTTTAAGCTAATCTCATCAAACGTTTGTGTCCTTGATTTTCCATTTTTCAGCCCCACATCTGGTTGATTCTCTCTGTTCTTCGCATGAACTCGGAGAACAGAGCTGGGTCTGTTGCAGCTGTGCCAAACAAATCCTACTCCTGATGCTGCTGATGCTGCTGCTGCTCTTCATCCACACATCCCACCACCTCCTGCACCATAGTGTAGTACATTATATTTAGATCACAGCCCAGTGTAGGCTTATTTCTCTGTGACCCTGTTCTGACACTCCGGAGTGGATTATTTCCCTCGGTCAAGTTTATGTAATCTCTTGGAATTAAGTCCAACTGTGCAGGAAGATGGAGGCTGTCGGATCTGAAAGATGATCCTTCGGATGAGAAATAGATTTGTTTTATTTGTTTTTGGATACACATTTCTACTTTTCAAAGACTAAGTTAATACAATTTTATTTTAATAGCAGCAGAAATTACTTCAGGTATAGTAAATAAAATAAAATCAAACCAGCAACTAAGTTAATACAATTTTATCTGAATAGCAGCAGAAATTACTTTAGATCAGATATAATAAATAAAATAAAATCAAACCAGATCTGTCATCTAGAATTAGTCGAAATAGAGATGGCACGCAGTCATGTTTTTCTTTTTCATGCTTTTCTTGCTTCTTTGCGTCTTCTGAGCCACAAGGCTCTATTGTTGGCACAATTTTCAAACAGTATTTGCCTCATTTAGGCCACTATTTATTTGCCACTATTTTGACAACTTATGATACTGTGAGCTACCAATACTTGGTCCATTCTTTACTGTATGATGTTTCAGTGGTGCCAATATTTTCTTAAAATGGTTTCTTGGTTAATTTTATCTTCTGGGAAATTTGGCCTTCCTCTTTTCTTTTTTTACCTCAATTCTATTTGGCCAATACTTTATTCTGCAGCGTTTGCCACTTGCTTAGATGGGCAAATGTTTTTTCGAAGCAATCCCGATTTCCTTAACCCCCCCCAACCACGTTTGGACCGGTGTCAGGTACAGAGGTTTGCTCAAGGACACGATAAATCTGACAGCTAAACCATCTGGCCGCGTGATTAATCTCCAGCATGTTCTATCGGCAAAGGCTCGGCTACTTCTCTGTAGAAATGTGTCCTTGTGGACAGGGTGATGTATGTTAAAATTATAGGCCTGATTCTTATCTGCACTGATTCACGTGACAATTGACGGTTCATGACAAATGAGATTTAAATTGACAGTGCATAACCAGACAGCGGGCACTTTTAGACCAGCATCATCCATCACTGTCACGCCGCAGGTCATTGTTTTTCTATGAGAGCGGCCAACGTTCACCTCATTACCACTGAGCCAAAAATGATCGGAGCGTGTATGAGTAGTGGACGCTGTTGTTTCAGATGTTGGTTTTATGGTGGGAAAATCATGGCGGCTCAGCATGACATTAAATGGGCATATTGGATAAAGTCACAACGATATTTAATACAAATATGCTGCGATACAACTGATAATGTTAGTTTAGAACTATTTTGTTTAAACCATAGTGGAATGTGTTAAAACTATTTTGTTTAAACCATAGTGGAATTTATTGAAAACCATCGTTAACGTTACTCCATGTAGCAACTACTTACCAAATAAATGTGACATACAGTAGAATTAACACATAGAAGTCCTAGCAGTTAGCTAAGAGGCTACGATTTAGATGACAAAATATAACAAAGTTGCTAGTTTGCAAGTTTAACAAAAAGGTCTTAGATTCTGCACCATATATGCCTAAAGTTAGCAAAGAGTATGCTCACTTTCCTGTGACTATATCAATGATTTCAATAAAAAAAATAGGCCTAAGATTGGGTCAGAAGCCAGACTTTGAGCACACTTGCAAATAACAGTAAGTCCGATTTTAAACTTCACATTTCCAGCTGTATTTTAATTCTTTAATTAGTTGGAGTGATGTTAAATATATCAAGTGCAGTCTCCAGCTTCACTCTGGTCCCACTTCAACTGGACCACATGCCCCCCCCCAACCCCCCCGTGCAGTCATTCTAGCCTCCCCTGGGTGAACAAAGACCCCTTTCAGTCCAGTTCCTACTGTGATCCTGCAGAGCAGAAACAATCTGTTCTGTTCCTGTTGGTTACTCACTGTGGAGTGACCCAGTCCTTCATGCTGGTTTGATCAGCTGGGCTGGTTCGTGGTGTGATACTATTTCTCATTTCAGTTATGGGAGAAAAAAAAAGGGCATCGCAGAGACAGAGATCAGGATTCCCACACACTTCCAAAGTCTGACTCTGCAACTTAGCTGTTGGCTAACTTTTGGCTATTTTCTGCTAACTCTGCCACTTGTCCAATAGTTTTCCTTTTTTCTGACTAACAATTCAAACAAGTCAGGTATGAATTTCCACCATTTTATAGCTATCCTTTAGCTTGTAGCCGTTGATATTTCAATTGAAAGCCTTGGGTGGCTGATTTCTTACAAATGTTGAGCTATCTTTTACCTGATTTTTTTTTATATTTTCCTAACTTTTAGTAAGGTTTCAAGTTGATGAGCTGTGTTAAGTGTATTTTTTTTAAATATACCAGGTGAACACTTTCAGCTAAAATTTGTTAAATTCTTATTAGGTTAACTTACTATGTGCTAAATAATATTTTTTATTTTTTTTAAAAGTACAGTACAGTTACAGGGAAACAAGCAGCCTGTAGTAACAGATGTTCTTTAGTCTTAGTAGCTACAGATTTTCTGTAATAAATTGTGTTTTGTTTTTTTTGTGTCTGAGTGCAACAGCAGTTAACCCACTTTCGACCAATCCTGCACTCACCTGGCGACCGTGATGATTTTGAAATGCTCCAGGCCCAGAACGCCATTTGTCTGACTGGCTGTATTCTTAAAACTCTGCAGTCTGGACTGGTTTCCACCTGGACTCCCATGATCCTTCAGGGCTGGTGACATATCTGTGGTCTGTGTGACTCCACTGGCCTCATTCAGTCACTGTGTGTGTGGCGACCTGTAAGATGAAGTGGAACCATTGTAAGAATTTAGGGAACAATTTCACATAGAGCAATTTCCTTTAGTCCCCACTGTTTTTTAAGGACTAAAAATGTTCCAAAATTATTTTCGTAAGACATCTAAGGTAAAAACGGATCAATATTTAAACACAATCAATTTGTCAATACCAGCCGGAGAGAATGATGAATGGTATTGATTATTGATTATTGTTTTCAATAGTCACTCCTGTAAAAGATTATTATAAATCATATCAGACTTAAAATCAAGGCAGAAACACTGACAAAACCAACCAGAAAACTGTATAAAAATACAAACAAACAATAAAAAATACAATAAATGGATTGAGCAAATATTTCTATTTGATAAAAATAATATTAAATTAGGTTTTTTTTTCAAATGCGACCCACCAAAACAAATATAAAAAAAAAAAGGCATTTTTATATATATTTTTTTACTTTTAAGAAACGTGTTTACTCTCTCAACATCATCTTTTAGGACACATTTTCAACATTTCTTCCACTACCACCACTCAGTAGTTGGAGTTTGGTATCTGACAAAGGCCTCTCTATTTTTGGTGGCACTGACAGCCTACTTTTTCCACTGTGGTCTGACAGTATCAGGGGAAGGAATCTCTTTTTACCCAGTAAAGTAGGAAGCTCTTCATTTTCAAATGTGATGATACAGCTGTTCTAATGAGAAGAGACAGTTATTTAGGGAGTGTGTACGAAGCTCTGCTGCTACCGATGCCTTCACACTGCTTTCGGGAAAGTGGGACAGGAATGGTTCTTCCCACTTTTCCACATCTACTCCAGTGTTTTGCGGGTACTTCCTCGGGTCATATCTAACACCGACTGCAAAAATGGAAATAAGTCTCCAGAGTAGTTTTGGTAAATTGCTGGTTAAGAATCTGCACTGGAAATATTTCCTCCATGGTGGAGATTATTAAGATTTTACAGTTGACAGCTGCAGTACCAACTGATGCTGCTAGTTAGGAATGTTTACTGGACTTAATGTCAAGCTTTTGTTTCACTGAAGACCCTGGATCTTAAAATCACATGGCCTCAACTCCCAGCACGTGTTTGTTGAGGCCTAAACATAAGGTCAGTGGCCCAACTTGTGTCACAGCAGCCTGACTGAAATCGAGACAGTCGGTAAGACTTTGATTGACAAGCTGACTGACATAAATGATAATCATAATTAATTGTGAAAAATCCTACACTAACCTAAGGTTAATCATATAATATTTTTTTTCTTGTTTGATGCTGTAATTTTAAAGTAACTCCATGTATTTGATTTGTAAAAGCCGTTTACAGCGCGGTTTGTATTTTAGTCACTTTAGTTTTCAGGTCTGACACTATCAAATCAATGCCTTACATAAGCTGCGTGGGAGACAGATGAGGATGAATTTGTAAACTCTGGTATTTAAGAGGACGCAGTGCTATCTTTAACCACCGTGAGGTCGCCTACCTTCATTCAGAGGGCTCCTGTTGGAGAAACTGAAGGCTGTGACGGAGGAGACGCTCCAAGCTCAAGGAAACCACTGTTGCTATGATACTGCTGAGGAGGAGAAAAAAAAAACAGCTTTCTTTAGAGAAAAGTTGAAATATTTTTAACAGCTCATGGTCAGGTGCATGCGGGACTAAAATGTGCTAAGGCTCCGGTTAGAAGCTAAGGTTTTCGCTTAGACATGTACAGCTCAGCGTTTGAACGTCGTGATCAGGTGATTTGAATCCGTCAAGTTCGACCAGAGCTGCGGGTTTGTAACGTCCACACTTGTTTGTTTGTCATCTTTCTGTTCTTCCTAAGATGCTCCACTCCTGTTTACTTTACATCCCCCCCCACTTGTTCACCTGCCTCTCCAGTGCCCCCTGGTGATTACCTAACTCTCTCTCTCTATACTTGTGTCTTCTAAGCTCCTCCCCCTTGTCTCCTAAATATACCAGATACTTTCCTCCCCTCCCCCTGGATGACAGTACTGTTCTCCGGGCTGTCGTGACAAAATAATCTTGGATGACAGTACTTTTCTCCGGGCTGTCGTGACAAAATAATATTTTATGAGGATAAATAATAAAGGTCTGCTCTGCCGTTGAGCGAAGAGAGGAAGCAGCAGCTGTAGCGAGGATAGGGCAAAGATGAAATATGAGCAAAACCAATCAGAGGCAGGGATTAGGCTGTTTCACACACAAAGGAAAACAACACGACTTGAACCATCCATGTCTACTAGGGATGTAACAATTGTTATCTTAAATAACAGAATACAAAAAAATTGCACATTTTTCTGTCAATTTATTAAACAAGAAAAGAATATAAAAATTAACTGGAAAGAGTTCCTGTCTTTACAAAAACACTGTTTGTGTCTGTGAAAGAAATTATTCCCACATTCTGTTTGAACACCTGAATGTCACTTAGGTTATTCACCAACAACATTTTTCTATGCAAAGCGCCACCTACTGTACTAGAGCATGTAGTGTCATGGTATGACCATGAGTGAGTGAGTTTTTGAGATAACACAGCCTATTCCTTACACCTTGATGAGATTAATTTCTTCACGCATCGTCACGTCTCTACTGTTTAACCTATTCCTTACACCTTGATGAGACTTTTTACCGATGTGACTTGTCACGCATCGTCACGTCTCTACTGTTTACACATCCACATATCCGTTTTTCTATTAATTGAAGAATTAGTTGTAATTAATCATTAGTCTTCTATGCATTTAAATAACAACGTTGATTTGACTTATTGCGGCAGAAACCGGTCGCTGAAAAGCCACTCTGTGAACCACTATCCTGAGGTCCACTTTGCAACTACGTTTTTTTTCCTCATCCATTTCAATTGAGAAACAAAAAAAAAAGACAAGCAGACAAAGGTCAAAATGTCTCTTGGTAGATTGTTCTTGAGACAACTGTGTGGTTATGTCAGAATGCTGTTAACTTGACCTTGTTCTCGACCTTGTTCTACGTTAATAAAAATCCTCCAATCCTACAAATCTGCGGGAACATGTTTGATCTCCTCTTTTGTCTCAACCTTCAGTCCCCCTGGGACCATACACACAGAAGACAATCAGCACCATGTCTCTCCTGGGGACAATAAGACTAATCTGTGTGGGACAGGAAGGAAAACGAGGGCAGATGAAGCCTCACAGCTGCCTTTGTGACCTTTTTATTTTTTTTAGCTCTACTTCTGGATATTCAGTCAGATGAGGATCAGGTTAAATTAGCTGTGGTTCCTAAAATACCGGGATTTAATAAACGCTCCATAAAGATCGTCTTCTGTGTCAGCTCTGACCTCAGACAAGGTTAATTGAGATGGGATTTTAAGCTTGAGGCGCTTTAGTCAAATGAAAAGAAAAAGAAAACATTTCCCCAAAGTGTGTACAAGTAACAATGTGTGTGATTCAGAAAGTGGTTTATTTCAGTATCATATTTAATCGTTTCACTCCTTTTGTTGTTTGGTTTTATGCTTAAGTTGGTGACACTGCAGTTCATGATCATTTAAATGTAGAATGTTGAATTTGAATTAATGCCAGATGTGACCCACATGTGTCGTAGGCATCATGAATATGGGCCAAACCTTGATTAAACTTGCGCCAGAGATCTGGGCCTTATAGTCCTAATTCTGGATGCCAGATCTGGGCTATTAGAAACAAATCACTGCTAAAAAAAAACGGCGTGTGGTCAACGCTGAATCAGAGACTGTCTTTATATGGTCTTAAAGTTCATAAAAGATTAATTACAAATATAGATTCCAACACTTCTTGCAGCTGCAACCAGGATTAGGGACCAGAGAGACTTCTCCTCTGCAACGTTTTCCAAGTTACACCACATTAAACCACTGTCACTCCTAATCCCCTGCCAGAGACTTTACCACCCTTTTTCAGCTGATCCTCTTTTTTTTTTTTTTTTTTTTCCTCTTGCATGCCAAGTACAGCGCAGTGGGCCGCAGACATCATCCTCGCTCGCCTTCACAGTCAAACTCTTCACGCCTGTCACGCTAAATAACCACAGAAAATGACATGATCGGTGAGAAAATGCGCTGCCATTGTGCCTAGAAGATGATGAAAAGGTGGGGAAGATGTGCTGAGAGCAGGGTGAAGCCCAGGGCTGTCATGGGAAGGAAGAAAAAAAAACACATTCTGCTGAATCTAATGTTAAATTGCATTTAGTCTATTAAAACGTGTCCGCTCCAACTGCAGTCCTAAATTTGACTTACCTCATACGACCCATAAGTCACCACCGAGTTCCACCTCCACTGAATTTTAAACATAACGTGACGTTGATGAAGAAATCAACGCATTTTAAACTAGTTCATGTGCCAGAGTTGGTCCCTGAGCCTGACTTTGGACCTCCCTGTATCCTGACAGCACTGGTTGGCTCTTATGAAATGTAGGGCCTTTTACAGGAGGGTCAACTTGTGATGTTTTTTTTTTCTAACTAAGGGATGAAATAGTCTCATAGTGACCAAAACGTCTGAGCTGATATAGAAGGGAGCCCCGAGGAACATAATCTCATTGTCTGTTGAAGAAATGTCCAAATCTGCTCCGATGAAGCCCCAGCTCCGCAGCTCATGGCAGGAGAACTCAGTGAAAAAACAATTACAGAGGTATTAAAATGTCAGGGCAGAATTTATCAGCGGCACGACTCTGTCCCTCTGAGTCATTCCTCACTCCAACCAAGTGGAATCAAGCCTAATGTCACACCTCGACCTCAGTCGCCGCCGTTTGGAGTTTTATCCACCACTGGGAGGGGAAGTTTCCCCGAGGGCTTAGGAGACAACGAAGTGACCGTCATTGCAGGGGAAGAGGAAGGAAGGAGCAAGGAGGGGAGAAAACTGGTGTAATGTGTTTAAAACAGCCGACGGCTGCTGATTCAGAGCAGCACAGCTCAGCATCTCTGCACCAGTTAATTGCTCGATTGACTTGGTCGTCTGCCAGTCACACAATACGGCTTGAAATGCTCAAGACCACACACACACGCACATACATACTAACACACACAGTGACTACAGCAACAGCCAATTGGTGCTCAGGAGAGTTTATAGTTTAGTATCCCCTCCTCCCCTTATCTCCACCCTCCTCACGCCACAAGAAAAATAATTGGACAATAACTGTTTCACAGACCTTAAAGGTTTCATTTTCAATCACACAAAGACACACAATAAAACCCAAAAAAAAACTAGTCATTGGAATTATAGGAAGTAGCTCTCTCTCAGACAGGGGCAGGTGGACAAAACATGCAAAATACAAAAATAAATTATTAAGAAAATGTCCTCCGCTCTAGAGTCAAAGTCCTGAAGCTTACACCAATACCTGGACACTTTCTAATTTTTCCGGCCAACAAACAATCTTGAAAAGTAACATACACTTTGCTTCAAGCCGCTTCAAGCCACTGTGTGTCACAATGATTTTTATCGACCTGTGTGAAAAGTTTTACTCCCCGGACAATGTTTTCTCCCATGACTTCACACTTGCAATCAACCTATTTGACTAAAATAGGAGGAGAAGGAGTCCGCTGGGAAATATCCCTGACTGAGACATGAAAAGGACAAGAACTCAGAAGGGAAATTACCATGGATAGAACAAAGATAAAAGGAAGGCCTTTAAAAAAAAAATCTATTGTCTCTTATACACTATATTGGTATAATATAAATTGTATTATATTAAAAATACTTTTTCTAAAACATCTTTTTTTCGTATTGCCTTTCAAACACTTCCAGACCATTAGAGTTGGAAAACCCCTGTGTTTTTTTCCAGGGCAGGTAGGAATCCCACCACTGCACTGTAAAACATTTCTACAAACTTCACAGAATCGTCAGTGAAGTCGGTGAAGAAACGATTCCTTACGCTTTATAGGAGGTTAAAATACACATTTTAAAATCCTCTTGTTCTGTATGTGTTACTGCACCGTCCTCACATCACCCAAACATGTTAATGCTCCTCCAGAATGAATGGCAGCTCCGAGGTGACTGATAGCGTCTAAATTAGCGACACTGATTCACTGCCTGCATGGTGAGAGTGAACTGGCACGCCGCTGCTAAAGCTGTGAAAATGGCAAAAAATGAAGTATTGTTCCTATGCTAATCTCCAGCTTGGCACTGGTGGGCTGCTGGTTTTGTTCCAGGAAAATTTGTCACACATTTTTAGTTCGTGGAACACGTCCATGTTTTCTCTATACATTAACCTGGGAATGTGGTGAGGAAACACAAGAAAATGTCGTAAACATTTATTTGCAGGGTGGTCTAAACATGGAGGATGAGGATATATTTTATTTAATATTTGGTTTAGCCTGACTATAGTCTCTTTGGGATGAGACTAACGATACAACAACAAATTGTCTTTGTCAAAGCGCCAGAGTTTGTTTCTAGACAGACACTCAATTTAAATAAAATAAAAATCAAATTTTTGTCCAACAATATTATTTGTTTGTTTAAATGACCTCATAATTGACTAAATTCTAGACCCGGTTGAAGAACACTGATATACTGGCAGGAATTGAAGAAAGACATTCACAAAGATCTTCTTCAACACCTTATTTTTTTTTTTTTAGTTTTCATAGCCATCTGCTGCCACCTAGCTGAAGAGTATTTAAATTGTTCTGCCTTTCATGCTTTGACGAGCAAAGAAGAATAATATGCAGTAAATAAATAATAATTTTCAGCCCAATTAAGTGAAATTGGATAATTTTCTCTATGGCACTCTAGTGGGCCACGGTACAGGGGTTGGGAATCGCTAGATTGAGCCACAGGGCTGTGTCACTGAGCCATGATTTTTTATTTTTTTTTATCATTGGACACTGAACTGTTGGATAAATCTTAGCTTTAAAGTTTCTTGAATTTACTGTACATTATGTCTGGCATTTAAAGCAGCTCAGCGCTCCAACACCGCTGCTGCTGCTGCTGTTGTTATGAACGTTAACACCTTCTGTTGAACAGCTTATCTTTTACAGCTTTCTCATCCCACAGTTTTATCATTACTACTCCTAATTAGACCCCGTTCCCCCCTTATAATTACGCAGCAGCCTGATTCCTAACACATTAACAGACAAGGCCATTACCAACTTCGCTCTTTCAGGGTTTAGCGCCATTGTGAGTATGTTCATTAACTGCTGGTGTTTTGCATTTTCATTGTTCCACTCACCTGCCTGGAAACCACGGATGGGGTTTTTGGCGAGGAGCTAAATCGGGTACGAAGCCTCTCCTCTGGTTTGCGCGGCACATCGAGGGAATTTCCTCTTCCATGTTTGATTAGCAGGTGAATTTTGGGCCTTTTGATTTCATCAACCCATGCGACCGTAGGTGCAGCAGAATGAATTCCGGAGTTTTATCTGGTGAGGGGATGAAACAGACGTGATTGAAATAAATTCATATTAACTTAAAGTGCTTGTCACTCGGCCCCTGTCTGCTCCCGGTCCGAGCCAAAGTGACAGGGTCACGACGACGTGAAGGGGGACGGAAATTGGTCTGACACTTTAACCACCGTCATCTCTCTCTCAGCCTGCGGGGACCAGAGAACGAAAATCTGCTTATGACACCAAAGAAATCACCGCAGGGCTTCTGCTTCTGCTTCTTCCAGCTTCACACACACACACACACACACACCGTCATTTCCGCTGTATTTCCACTGCTCTCAGTTTAAAGTGATAGGATCTTTTATTAATGCTCTGCGCTCCTGCGTTGACATGGAGACCGTTTTAATGATTAATCTTGAAGGAAAGAGTCGAGCGTATACACGGAGGAAGGAGGGAAACCAATGAGACACTTTTCACCCAGGAATCCTTTTTTTTTTTCCTGGAGTTGAGTGGATATCAGCAGTTCATTCATGACTGGTTTGGTGAAATGTCAATAGTTTTTTGTCAAGTTTCCAACTTCACACTACAGTGATGAGCTGAAGCACTTGATGCTGATTAATAACATGGATTAGATCCAAAGAGTTATGAGGATGTAGGATGAGGATGAAGCAGCGTTGTGAAGTCGTTTGCTTGATATTTAGGAGAATTTAACTGGGATTGTGTTTGACATTTAAAGCAAGTAAAATTAATTTGTCTAAATTCCTGCATTTTCCTTTAATTTTCAGGACAAATATATAATTTGTAGGGGGTGAAAAAAAAGGAGGGTTGCTCATTTTACTCCACATAAACGAAACTAGGATGCAAAGTAACGTAAAAACTGTGACTGGAATTATTCAACAGATAAGTCACACCTGTCACACCAAAAGTCTTTCAACCAAAACACTAAATAAAACCTCTGGGGTTTTTAGAAGAAGTTATTCTTCACTGCTGTATTTAATTAGAAATTTCAAGACATCCCTTCTCTGCTGCAATCTCACCTCAATCTTGTAATTAGACGGAGTGCTGGGCGGACAATGCAGCTGCGCTCAACGTGGGACGGGGACAGAGGCAGTGGGGGAGGAGACTGGAGGAGGGGGAGGGCGGTTGGTGTTGAATACTAACAAACGCAACAAAAGAACAGATGTCCTTTAGGACTGAGCGTCTCTTTCACATACAGAGCTTGTTTAAATAAAATAAAAAAAACCTCAAACTACTGTTGTTTCTTATAGCTGAGAGGAGTTATGTCTGTATCTGGTAATAGATGACAAATAACTAATGAAGTATAGCAAAAGACAGCTATAAAAAAAATCAAATCTTCACTGAAGTGAAAGTTACATGGTGACGATCAGAGACCAGACAATCAGCAAAATTCCATTCAGATTACTAGAAAAATTAATCCTTCCTGGCTTTGTGCTCTGCTTTAAGCAGCAGAAGGGATTAATTCAGACTCTTTAATCTGTTATTTTTTATTATCGAAGGCTGTCATATCTCGAGTTTAAAAAAAGCAACGCTGGGATTAAAAGAAAAATCTGCAGCCCATTCTGTTGAGAGGAATTCAAGTCGTGCTAAAAATTTACAGGAAATATTTAGGGACACTTTCTTAGCCTCCTTTACGCCGACTCCTGAGATAATCCTGAAAAGAATAGTGATTTTTGAGTTTGAAACGTGTCACTTACTTTATGCTTTAATGTCATCATAGTGAAACAACGTGTGATTTTGAAAACATTAATTTTATGTTTAAAGTGTTTCGTATGACATCTTTTTTTAATAAATCCATATTTATCACTTTTTTCTCCTTCTCTTTTTAAACAGCGTGATGCAAAGGGACAATATCTGTTTGACCTCATCTGTCACCACCTCAACCTGCTAGAGAAGGATTATTTCGGCATCAGATATGTGGATCCAGACAAACAGAGGGTAAGTGTTTACACTGTGTAGTACATAAAATATTACATAAATTTACTTCCTGTATTTTTAGACTTACTAGTGTTTTTCTGGTTCTCACAACCACTCAAAAGCACTTTACACCACAGATCCTACTACGTCTGGAGTCAAACCCACAACCCTCCTGGTGTAAGACCTGCAGTACCTACCAAGCTACAGCCATCAGCAAACTACAAAATAAATAATTAAACGTAAAAAGTGTGACATAATGAGTACTTGATTCATTACCATCAATACATGCAATAATTTAAGGATAATTGTTAATATTCTGTTAAAGAACAACCATGGACATACTGTACATTCTAATTTTAAAACGAAGAATGTCGCCCCCTGGTGTTCATATGCTACTTCTACTCTAGCTCCTGAGTTTCACTTTTGAGGAAAAAAAAAGCTGTGTCCATTCTTTGTTAAAAGACTGTGTTTGAGGCCAAAATAAGGAAGTTTTCTCCCTATAAATAAACTGACGAGCTCCAACAATCTGGTGCTGCTGATTAAAGTCAAACAGTTCCAACGAAAGTTTTTAGCTGAAATGACAGAACTCATTCCTAAACTTTCGTGTTCAAGCAAATGTTCTTGGCTGGTGGTTGAAGATTCCACAACTCACGCGCTTTTCTATCGTTAAAAAATGGATTCGAGCTAGCCCGTGGTCCAAAGTGAAAAGCCGTGTTTGCGTGTTTTCATTCATGAAGTATTCACAGGTTTGTAGCCCATGTTAAGGTCCAGCAGGAAGAGGAAGAAAAAAGAAGGCAGGTCCTGCTGATGCTACTTTGCTAACACATGACATCCAGGGCTATTTCAGGGCCCTGGTTGCTGGGGTGGGATTTTGGTTGGAGGGAAGGTAAACTGGTAGTGAAGAAAGAGGAGGAGGGGAGGAGAAGGAGAAGGAGGGGGGAGAAGATACGGCTGAATGTCTGCTGTCAGCAGCAGCAGGAGTTCAGTCTCAACCTGATTTTTAATCAGACTCCTGCTGGGGCTCAGCTCTGCACAGAGAATATATTCATTCATACCTGGGAATTATGACGACGGCACCGAGAATAGAGATGATGTCATTTATTTACATGCATCCTTACATGCAAGTCTTTACTGAGTGACTGAATTCAACCAATAATAAGGGGCTGACATTCAAGTCTTTACTGAGTAACTGAATTCAACCAATAATAAGGGGCTGTGGGTGGGAAAATAATATGTATCCTGTTGTTGAGGAATTTTGATTTACCTCTGTTAAAACATGATTAATTACAGTCATTGATTAATCATGACTAGTCGTGATCAATCAAGATTAATCATGAGTAGTCAACAACTATCTGGTGTTTATTTGTTACCGGTTAAATATAGCATCGATGCACAGTACTTCGCTGTCATTAGTACAAAACAGCGTTACATTAACTTTTTTACAGTGATTTCCAAGGCTGTAAATGACTATATAAAAATAACTGAAGCCAATGAGTAAAGTTATATGTGGATTATTGAGATTATTAATCTTTTTTTCACACTCATTAGTTCATATTTCTCTACTTCTCTCCTGCAGCACTGGTTGGAGTTCCCCAAGTCTATTGCCAAGCAAATGAAATGTAAGTATTTAAAGTATGGTTCAGGCTAATGCAGACATTATATTTCTGCCTTATATATTTCTGCCTGCTTTAAACTCTCACCTGTTCCATTTCAATAACCTTAAATAAATCATCTTCACCCCAACATTTCCCTGCATTTTCTTTTCCCGCAGCTCAGCCTCCGTTCACCATGTGTCTGAGAGTCAAGTTCTACCCTCCTGATCCTGCTGTTCTGAGGGAGGAAATCACTCGGTGGGACTTCACACAAGTTTTTCATTCATTTATCGTCTCTTGCTGCTTTAACGACTACCGCTCACAGTTACTACTGTATGTTCACACTGACGGCGTTAGTGCTCAGTTCTGTTATTTTTATTTTTTATTTTTAGCTGTGATGTGAATGTTTTGTAGTCGTTACCCGCAGTTTAAAGTCAGGAAATCAATATTAATATTATCGGACATCCGTAGTTGTACATCTATATTTTACATTACATTATGTAACATGCCATTATCTTGTATTATTTGTAATATATTATCACGCTGTAGGGGACAGTCTACTGATGTACAGTCTGCCTCACAGAGGAGACTGTCTGTCAGCGGTAATGAGCTGAAATGTGCGGCACATGTAGTATGTACATAACAACCTGCGCACCTGGAGTAGAAGGAGGCCAAAGGTCACTGTCGGAGAGAGGAGAGGATGAAATGTGAAAGAGGAGAAGTGGGAAGGAAGAGACTATAAAAGACCGAGTGAGAGGAGGGAGTGGAGAGAGCGGAGTGTCTGGTGGTTCACAGGATAAATGATCAACCACATACTGTATGAGGCTCATTTAATGTCTCCTCTCTACTGCCCTCTAAGTGCTGCCTATTAGAGCTGGACTGTTTGTTTTCGTAGTTCACCTCAGGTTTCTAATGTCTGCTGTGTTATAAACTCTACAACCAAACTGTACGACCGTCTTCAACAGTAAATGATTAGCTAGATTTATCACAACTTAAAAAAAAAAATGTATAAAAAAAAAACCCATTTTTCCTTCAGGACCACTTAATTAACCAATGTCAAAAGTCAGTCAAGCCAAAAATGTTGTCTTTAGAGACTGCTTTAATATCAATTTAATTGACTGTTATTTGTAGAGAAATAAGTCATGGCCAAATAAAACCGGTTCAAGTGCCACATTTGGTCCCAGAGTCAGACTTTGGACATGTCTGCCCTCATTGCCCTCATTACTGTAGTATAATCACAACAATAACAATGATGATAATTAAAACTACAAGTGTCGCACTTGTCGGCATCCTGTTGTTTTATGGAGGCACTGTCTCATACCTGTGCAGCTGAGGGTGGAGGCTTCACCACAGCATTAGCAACAGCAGCAGCAGTTTTTCCTTCAGGGTATTTTTTTTTTCTTGACTTCTTTCCTGCACAACAAACCCTCATTTCAGGATAACTCAAACAGAAATATTCAAACCTGTGTCCATCGGGACTTTGAGCTCATCTGCATGTAGAGCAGTGGCCGTGGCCCTGACAGCAAGAGAAGCTCAGGAGGTACATGGCCAATATATACAGTTACAGTTACTAGACCCGTTATTCACATTATATTATGAGCTAGTGCACTAAAATATAATCAAATGGCTTACAGGGGGAAGGACTGACCCGCTCTCTGCAGTGGTGGGCTAATGAAGATTTTGATTGGAAAAATTGGATGGGATTGTAAAAAAAAAAAATACACCACCGCGTTTCTGTATCTGTCCTTTGTGGACTTTATAAAAGACGTCCAGAGACATTTTGCACGCTGTTGTTTGCTGTTAGCTTGGTGATAAAAAAACCCCAAAAAAAAAACAAAACATTCTCACTTGCACGAAAACAGAATTTACATTTGGACCTAAACCGTCTTCTCACATTTGTTTACCTTTTTCCCTTTTTTCTTTCACTTTATGGTCAAGCTAAGGCTCCTTGTCCGATTGTCAGATATGGATATTTTATCTTCTTGTCTTTGCAGATATCTCGTCTTCCTGCAGATAAAGAGAGACCTGTATCACGGTCGGCTCCTGTGCAAAACCTCGGATGCAGCCATGTTGGCTGCTTACATTCTACAAGGTAACGCATGGTGACACCTGGAAAACTGATATTTGTCCATCAAATGGATGTGTAGAGACAAACTACCTTTTACATTAAAATTAATAATATGCATAAACTGCTTGAGAATGTTTTTATTTTTTTAATAATTGAGGAATAACACAAATCAACCCAGAAAATGCCTAAAGTTAGCCAAACATTCAACATTTATCATTCAATGTTAACAAGTTTTGCTGTGTTGTACATTTTAATAGAATTAATTGTAAATTAATCTGAATGATTTTGAAATGTATTTCACAGGAATGTATGAATACGTGGTTGTCATGTACACACATTAAGCAAGAACTAGCTTGGATTCTGATTAAAATATGACCATATTCAGAGGTAATCTGTCAGAATTAAACAGTAGCCAAAACATAGCTCTGTTAGCCCTGTGCTAGTGGAAGGCTAAAACATTAATTAACTCCTGTAGTCAGTTTAGAGTGAAAAGCTAACTCGAACCTTCATTTGTTGGTACTGGAGTACCTGGAGAAATCACACACGACCGGGAAATGTACAGAAATATCAGTAGTTGAACGAAAGATATCGTTTAACTGTCAGGGAAGAAGCTAACAATTGTACAGCTAAATATCATTTTTCGCGGGCTTTGATTTGTGAGGCAGCGTCAGGCAAATGTAAAATATACTCAGGAAAGAAGTTGCATTAGTGTGGGTCTTTTATTATGTAGAATGTGAATTAGTTTTATTACTTTACCTTAATTCAAGTTCACCTTTCCCGTTTCCTCCCTTAGCTGAGATCGGTGACTACGACCCCGGAAAGCATCCTGAAGGCTACAGCTCCAAGTTCCAGTTTTTCCCTAAACACTCTGAGAGGCTGGAGCGACGGATCGCTGATATACACAAAACAGAGCTGATGTGAGCTTCGCCGCCGTAGACGTTTGTGTCACATGCACACCGACCTACAGGCCGCTTTCTTGTATAAACTGAGGAAAAATACAAAACGCACCAGTATAGGGAATATGACACACGTAAATAAAGATGTTACAGTAGGTAGTAGCTCCTCGTTAGTATAGTGGTGAGTCCCCCCGCCTGTCACGCGGGAGACCGCGGTTCAATTCCCCGACGGGGAGGTGTACTTTTTCTAATTTATTGTTCTTTCCCTTTATATTTACGGCTCCCCACTGTATGGCAACCTGTTTGGGGTGAAAAACACCTCACACAGCTCCTCGTTAGTATAGTAGTGAGTATCCCCGCCTGTCACGCGGGAGACCGGGGTTCAATTCCCCGACGGGGAGATTAACTTTTTCTAATTTATTTTTCTTTCCCTTTAAATTAACATCACCCACTGTATGGCAACCTGTTCGGGTTGAAAAAACCTCACGCAAGTCCTCGTTAGTATAGTGGTGAGTATCCCCGCCTGTCACGCGGGGGACCGGGGGTCAATTCCCCGACGGGGAGGTTTACTTTTTCTAATGTATTGTTCTTTCCCTCTATATTTACGGCTCCCCACTGTATGGCAACCTGTTCGGGGTGAAAAAACTCTCACGCAAGTCCTCGTTAGTATAGTGGTGAGTACCCCCGCCTGTCACGCGGGAGACCGGGGTTCAATTCCCCGACGGGGAGATTAACTTTTTCTAATTTATTTTTCTTTCCCTTTAAATTAACATCACCCACTGTATGGCAACCTGTTCGGGTTGAAAAAACCTCACGCAAGTCCTCGTTAGTATAGTGGTGAGTACCCCCGCCTGTCACGCGGGAGACCGGGGTTCAATTCCCCGACGGGGAGATTAACTTTTTCTAATTTATTTTTCTTTCCCTTTAAATTAACATCACCCACTGTATGGCAACCTGTTTGGGTTGAAAAACACCTCACACAGCTCCTCGTTAGTATAGTAGTGAGTATCCCCGCCTGTCACGCGGGAGACCGGGGTTCAATTCCCCGACGGGGAGGTTTACTTTTTCTAATTTATTGTTCTTTCCCTCTATATTTACGGCTCCCCACTGTATGGCAACCTGTTTGGGGTGAAAAACACCTCACACAGCTCCTCGTTAGTATAGTAGTGAGTATCCCCGCCTGTCACGCGGGAGACCGGGGTTCAATTCCCCGACGGGGAGGATATCTTTTTCTAATTTATTGTTCTTTCCCTCTATATTTACGGCTCCCCACTGTATGGCAACCTGTTCGGGTTGAAAAAACCTCACGCAAGTCCTCGTTAGTATAGTGGTGAGTACCCCCGCCTGTCACGCGGGAGACCGGGGGTCAATTCCCCGACGGGGAGGTTTACTTTTTCTAATTTATTGTTCTTTCCCTCTATATTTACGGCTCCCCACTGTATGGCAACCTGTTTGGGGTGAAAAACACCTCACACAGCTCCTCGTTAGTATAGTAGTGAGTATCCCCGCCTGTCACGCGGGAGACCGGGGTTCAATTCCCCGACGGGGAGGATATCTTTTTCTAATTTATTGTTCTTTCCCTTTATATTTACGGCTCCCCACTGTATGGCAACCTGTTCGGGGTGAAAAAACTCTCACGCAAGTCCTCGTTAGTATAGTGGTGAGTACCCCCGCCTGTCACGCGGGAGACCGGGGGTCAATTCCCCGACGGGGAGGTTTACTTTTTCTAATGTATTGTTCTTTCCCTCTATATTTACGGCTCCCCACTGTATGGCAACCTGTTTGGGTTGAAAAACCCCTCACACAGCTCCTCGTTAGTATAGTAGTGAGTATCCCCGCCTGTCACGCGGGAGACCGGGGTTCAATTCCCCGACGGGGAGATTAACTTTTTCTAATTTATTTTTCTTTCCCTTTAAATTAACATCACCCACTGTATGGCAACCTGTTGGGGTTGAAAAAATGTCTCGTAAGTCCTCGTTTGTATAGTGGTGAGTATCCCCGCCTGCCACGCGGGAGACCGGGGGTCAATTCCCCGACGGGGGGGGTTACTTTTTCTAATTTTTTGTTCTTTCCCTTTAAATTAACATCACCCACTGTATGGCAACCTGTTCGGGTTGAAAAAATGTCTCGTAAGTCCTCGTTAGTATAGTGGTCAGTATCCCCGCCTGTCACGCGGGAGACCGGGGGTCAATTCCCCGACGGGGAGGTTTACTTTTCTAATTTATTGTTCTTTCCCTTTAAATTTACGGCTCCCCACTGTATGGCAACCTGTTCGGGTTGAAAAACCCCTCACGCAAGTCCTCGTATGCTTTGTTGATCGAATTTGACAGAAAACCCCATGTCAAATTAAATACTGATAGAATGGGAACAGAATGATAAATGGCACAAAGCTCCACTGCCCACTAGCGGTTCATTGTGTCCTTACAGTACTAAAAGTCGATAATGTCTATTGCGTCATCAGATCTACAATCAGAAATACGTCATTTATACATACGGGAAATCGGAAAAAACTACCCGTAAACTGCCAGACTTTAATGTAGTTTTAGTAAGCGATTATATTTTGGGTGTTAAATCTGTAACATTAAAGATTATAAGAACTCAAACAACAATATCTTTCAGCTCCTCGTTAGTATAGTGGTGAGTATCCCCGCCTGTCACGCGGGAGACCGGGGTTCAATTCCCCGACGGGGAGACGATAATTTTTTTTTCTTCCTTTATGAGTTGTCGTATTTATCAACAATTACAAGAAGATAGCTAAAAAAAATTAGCTTCATGCTAATGGAACAAACGAGTCCAAGAGATGAAGAATTCAAATTAGCTTCCTGCTAATGGGACAAACGAGTCCAAGAGATGAAGAATTCAATCCAAAGATGGACACTGACGTTCTGTGATACTTTTTTTTCTCTCCTCAGAGGACAGACTCCAGAAACATCAGAGAGGAACTTCCTCCAGAAAGCTCAGATGTTGGAGACGTATGGTGTTGATCCTCATCCATGCAAGGTTCTTCTCTAAGCACTTTACACCCACGATTGGACATTTCAAGCGGTGGGGAAGCGTGTTCTGAATCTGTCTTACATATTTCCAGGACGTGTCTGGGAACCCAGCGTTTCTGGCCTTCACGCCGTTCGGTTTCATGGTTCTTCAGGGAAACAAGAGAGTCCACTTCCTGAAATGGTGAGTTAAAAAAAATAAATAATAAAAAAGGGAAATGTGCAACAGTGAGTTGAAGTCGGTGTTGAAACCAGACCAGACTCTCTGCCTTTGGCCTGGTTTTTCTGCTGGATTTGATGCATGTGCTCTAAATACAGGCATGTTGACACAGCATGTGCTGTACAGCTGGCTTACACAGTCACAGTCAACAAAGGCTGCACCATCTGCCTCCACCTGAGACTGGAGCTGAGGAGCAGCGTGCAGTGCACAGATGGCTGCCGGTACCAGCCACATTCACAGATATAGAAGCGAGGACAAAAGTATCACTTCCAAGAAAGTTACATAAACTTAAACTAAACACAAACTAAAGTTGGACTTCCTGTTCTAACAGCAGGGTGTCTTTAAAATAAATGAGCTGAGTCATTTTTTTCCTCTTGTGTAAAATTTCAATTTTTGTCACAAAATTTCTAAATTTCCATCTGCAATATTTCAATTATCTCATGGCCAAAATTTTAATTATTCATCTGTAAATTTTTTACATTTAATCATGTGCAATGTTTCAAAATTTCCATCTGCAATTTTTTTTTTCATGACAATTCCACTTTTTTTTCAGTATGCCGTACCGGAAAATATTTATTCTGTTTGAGAATAAATAGTCCTCTGAATTCACCAATAGGCTCCGCCCACAGAAACACTTTGTAATACAATGCTACACTGTTACATTAGTGTCTTTACCTATAACTCAGGAGGCTACCGTTTCCCTCGCATAGACAAACAGATTATATTTGTAGTGTTTACAATGGATTTGTTTGTTTGTCTTTTTGAAGCACTCAGGTTTCCCTTCGTCTTTATCCCCTGTCCACTGGGAATATTACCCATTATTGTTTTGTCAGACAAATACAGACGTCTGCGGCCGTCTGTGAGGTTTCTAAGCGGTCGTCATTAATATTTAAAGCGACTGCGGTGGGTGGTTTCCGATCGCGGCACGTCCTAACTGCTGCGGTGTCGGCTGTGCTTTGTCCTGGACAGGAACGAGGTGAGCAAGCTGAAGTTTGAAGGCAAGACCTTCCACGTATATGCAAACCAGAAGGAGGTGAGAGCGTGGATTGTTGGACTTGGAGGGAAGAAAACGTTACGTTCTTCTAAGTGTTTTGTTTAATTGTCCTGCACATTTTTATCTTCCACACGCAGGACAAAAAGATCATCCTGACGTACTTTGCGCCGACCCCTGAGGCCTGCAAGCATCTTTGGAAATGTGGGGTGGAGAACCAGGCGTTCTACAAGTGAGTGCGTGGAAGTCATGCCTGCGTTTTCTCTCCTCGACCCCAAGTTTTGAGACGGTTAAGATTCTATCGTGTAAAGGAGGCCAACTGTTCTGCTCTATTAAAACAGCATTAGTGTTAGCATTAGCATTTCAGCTGAAAATAGTTTGTCTGAAAAGTCAGACAAAAAAGAGAAAGTTGAAAAGTTTATAATTAGCTGACAGACAAAAATAGCAGATTAAGTTAGATGACAAGAGAAAATATATAGAAACATATACGTAAATAAATGCTTCTAGCTATTGCTAACAGAACTATTGTAGCCAGTCATTGTTGAATTAAATGATAATAGCGTAATTAGCCAAAAGAAAGTCGACATATTAAAATTAAAATTAATATGAACAATAAATATGACAGAAAATTAAAAGCAAAATTTACAAAAGAATTTACCCAAAATGTAGCTGTTGAAAAAATTTGAAAAAAAAAATTGTTAAAAGACCCAATATTTCCTAAAAATTGTAAATAATTTGATAATGGACCATGAAAACCCTTCAAATAATAATCTTAAATTTGATTGAATGCAGACAAAAATGACCATGAAAACCCTTTTCACGTGCCACACTCAGCCCCTGGGTCAGAGTTTGAACCTGGCTGACTTACCTCCCGGTTCTTGGTGTCCTTAAAAGCCCCTCTTCTTCTTCTTCATCCTCCTCTTCTTCCTCTCCTCCTTCCCTCTGCCTCGTTTGTCAGCGGGGGAATGAGGCGGGCGCTGCTTCCTGACCTTTAATGAATGAGTGTTTTCTGGCACGCGACCGCAGCCTCTTCTCTGCTCCTTCTGAGAAATGGCACTGCTGTCTGCTCCGTGAATTATAGTAGCACCTCCTCCTCTGCTCTCTCTGCTCCATGGAAGGTGATTAAAAAAAATGAAAAAAAAAAAAAAACCCAAACAACTAAAGAGGCAGAGTGAGATCAGAGCGGCGCGGTAATGATGGAGTGAACAGATGGAGTTAGAAGAGACAGAAGGACACGAGCCTGACAGGAGTCTGAGCCTGTGAGGAATTCAAACCATCGCCTCATACTTTTGGCTCATTTGTCATCAAATTTGATTTTTTTTTTTTTTTGGGGAAATGATGACTCCTGTTTATCCAGTCCCTAAAACTGCATTCCCACTGTGGACAAATCTGACCCATGTCCAGGTGTCGAAATGACCTCAGTCTTCCGCTCATTATCAATCAGGAGTTTGCTCTAAAAAAGGAGAAAAAGAACACGTGGTAGAACAACGTCATGCGTGAAATCATACATGAAATCCTTGAAAAGCAACAATAAAAGCATTAAACATTGATGTCAGCCCGACTCTGGCAGCATAAACACGCTGAATACTGCATGTCGCCGCGCCTCTGGCATGAAGAACGCACATGAATATTTGAGGTGGAGGGATTTTGATACCGATTATGTTGATATTATTCAGAAAATACTGCAGTAATATATGGATGTACTGCATCTTTGAAACGCTGAATTTGTAAAATGCAGGAAGAGAAATATAAAAAATATTTATATATTCTGGAGTCTGAAGTGGTCTGCAGTGTCCTAATGTGTTTTACTTTGCTTTACATTCAGAACAATTTGATTATATCTGTCTTTATTTCTGCTGATAATCATGTTGTTTGACATTTGTCCACTAGAGGACATCTTACTTAGTGGTGTTAATCCGCAGATTACATAGTGTGTAATGAATTAAAAACGATACATTCACTGTCGTCGGGCAGACCAGCCTGTCCAGATTCCTCTGTGTGTATTTTCCAATACGACTGTACGTTTGTTTTCCAGGATGGAGAAGTCGAGCCAGGTGCGAACGGTGTCCAGCAGCAACCTGTTCTTCAAGGGCAGTCGTTTCCGGTACAGGTATAGAACATGAGTGGTCAGTGGGGCTCCTGACAGGGAGGGGGGAGGAGAGGGGAGGAGGTGAGAGAGAGAGAGAGAGAGAAACAGAGGTTTTCCCAGAGGACGTGTCGTTCTCACCTTTTGTCCTGGAACATCTGTCCACGTCCACCCTGAGGACGGAGCTCACACGTCATCAGACAGAGGACGCAGTGAAGGGGACGGAGCTCAGTGTTACCTTACAGGCATAAAAAACAACAAACAACAACACTGAACAAAAATAACAGCACTACGAGCCAATCAGGTGACCAAACCAGTAGTCTCTACCTAAAGTTGATATCTGCGACCCCTAGGTGGTCCACAGAGGTACTGCAGGATGGTCTAAATAATATTTCTTTCCAACATTTATTATTTTTTAATTATTATTTTGTTGAAAATAAAAATGAGAATATATGAACATATATGAATGTATTAGCATTAGGCTCTATTAATCACAGTTTTATACAAATATATAGCAGGGTTTCCATCCAACCAACCAACAGTTTGGGGGCTATTCACAGTTTTATACAAATATATAGCAGTACTTCCATCCAACCAACCAACAGTTTGGGGAAAGAAATGCAATAAAGTTGAACTTTGCTGGGCTGAAGAAAAAAGAAGAAAGACTAAAAAAGAGTCGAAGAAAAAAAAACACGACATTTAACAATTAGCTGAACAGAGTGAAAAAGCAGGGACAGATGTGCAGCAGGTTAGGGTGATAAAGAATCATGATAGATCTGTACTAGAATGTAGTGTATGCATGGAGGTATAGTGGTATTTTATGATGAGAAAAAAATGGAAGATTGCCAGTTAAACTAGAATTTTTTACAAACTGTCCCTTTAAGTAACTTTCAATTTCAGTTGAAAAAAAAAACCAAACATCTGGAGAATTTAATTTCAAAGCCCAGTCAGTTAAATGCCAGGTTGACTCTGAAAGGTCACGTCTTTGTGTAATTCACTTACACAACAGTGAACTGAGTGTTTAATCCAATCACAGTGTTTCATGTACTGCACTCGATGCAGTGACTGACGCTGCTGCTGCTTCATCACCGTGTGTGTGTGTGTGTGTGTGTGTGTGTGTGTGTGGAAACTGACACCAAGCATCTGTCTCTCTGCTTCAAAACAGTGGACGAGTGGCAAAGGAGGTGATGGAGCAGAGCGCCAAAATCAAACGAGAACCTCCAGAAATACACAGGTACCAGAGGTTTGACTGCAGAGAAACCTCAGAATACTCTCTCTCTCGAGTATCTCTGAGTTTACTCTACTTCATTAAGTACTGTGAAAGCCCCGTCCCCCGGCCCCCAGGGTAGATAGGGTTCCATCTGTTGGTGCGCTGGTGTTTGACCGTTTCCTGTCCATTTGTCTCTGCAGAGCTGGGATGGTGCCCAGCAGAAGTTGTCCATCCATCACCCACGGTCCTCGTCTCAGCAGTGTACCGCGGACACGTCGGAGAGCGGTGCATATATCAATCATTGAGGGTAAGAACGGAGCTTCTACCCCACTCCGAGGGTCGGGGGTTGTTTTTGCTGCTGCTTAAAAGGATATTCAGTCGTCAAGTGACGACGTTGACAATTGGTTGATGAGTTTAACGGTGCAACTCAATGATGAGAGCAACGTATCACTTACAGCAAGGACCCCCAATACCCCCCCCGCATCCACAGATTGGTACTGGGCCACACAGAAAGAATGAATAATTCATTCATTTAATGAGAATCCGTTTATTTTCTTGATCTAAAGATAAAGATATTTCTGTGATTTTTCCAATTCATACATCTTTCGTGCTCCGATACTCTCAGAGTAAAGTCTAAAAGATGATTTATCTGAAATATTTACCGATCTTTAACAATCCTGCCATCACTGGTTTGACCAATCAGGGCTGAGAAGGTAGTCCGTCGACTGATCGATGTTCGTTGTCATGTCCTAGAAAGTCAACAACAGGACAACACGGAGACAGCAACTATTCAGCTTGACAACTGTTTTTAAAATTAAATTAAATTAAAATTAATTTTTTAAAATATATTTGTACCGTAAACTTCTAATCAACAATTTTACCAGTGTCGGATTAATACAGTAAAATTCAGTAAAATTTCAAAAATGTGTTTTGATTTCGCTCTACAGATCACAGCATTTCATGAAGCTGAAAAAGTTAAAAATTTAAAAATTAAATATTTTGACCACACGAGGAGCTAATATCTTTATCTATCTTCGACTTTTCACTAAGGAGATCAACTTTCCATTGTCCCTTCATTAGCGTTAGTCCAGAGCAAAGTGGTTTGGCTCAGTTTTTACGCCGTCTCACCGTGATGAAACCCAACCTCCCACTGGGACCTGGTGTGTTACCAAACCAGGAACCGTCTGCAGGGGAGGCAGGAACTCACTGCTAATGCAACTCTTTGCTGCTTGTAATAATATTTTTTTATGTCTCACACACACTGAGTAACTGGAGCCTCCAACTTTGCTCCCATTGGTCGGACAGGTCGCAGGTGTGTGCGTCACTCACCCTGCTCCACTTTAATGCTTGTTTGAAAGCTGTGCTAACGCTGAGGCAGCTAACGGGTAAATATTCCACCCACCTGCAGAATCCTGCACGAACACAGGGGGGCCTCAGCGCCCCCAGCTCTCAAGTTCACACTCTGAACTCTTTGAAGCAGTTGATGAACAGACGTCAATAGAAGTGTCTGTGTGGACGCTGAGGGTGTTTCACTTTGAGGTCAAGACAAGCATACCAGCTCTACACCCCCCCACCCCACAGCGCCCCCCCTCCCTGTGTGTGAGTGTGCTGACTGAGTGCCTTACAGCGGTATTAATACCTCTGGCTGAAAATAGCCAGGATCTTCTACTCCATGTATGTCTTTGGCCTGGGTGGGGCAAAACCAGGCCAGAGCAAAGCCACCGTTTCACCCCACACTCCAACGGTTACCCACACAAACAACAACCGTGGCCTGGACTCCGGGACAGGGACCATAACAGCAGGATTACCACGTGAATGCCGCAGCCATGGTCAAGTGTCTGATCCGCATCACCACCCGGGTGAACGTCCACCTGCGCATGATTAACCACTGCTACCGGGACGTGAAGGTTCGCGTGTTGAGCCTGGGGCCTCGTATGCTGGGCAAGGCCCTGGGCGTCCTGCCCCTGTACCCTGCCCTGATGGGGCAGCAGGAGTCTGCCAGCACCACCCCCCTCACTGGCAGCCCCCTGCCTTTCGTACAGCCGAGCAAACCTCCAGGTAAAGTCACAACAACACCGCCGCCACGGTGTGACTGACAGGCTGGGTGAAGAGTTACTGTAGGGAGGGGTGACAGCACCCCCCTCAGGTGGTCTTTGTCATCTGGATATAGGAACCAATTATTTATCATCTACTGGTTTGTTTAACGTTGTTTGACTCTTGTGTGTCCAAAGTCTGGTCCTGGGGACAGTCGTGACGGTCCATGTAATATGTAGTAAAATATCTTGGGTTTTTATGATGGTATTTTAAATAAAGTCCAGTTTTAGTAGTTTTTTTTAATCAAAATGTGTAACTATTTTTATGCTAACATTAGGCTATTACTAAGCTAACGATTCATTTAGCGCTCTCTCCTTGCTCTATTAGCCGTTTAAGTTATCCGTGGAGCTAATAATGCTTAGCTACTAATCAACAAAATATTGTAAAATGCAATTTTTTTTATTTTCACGTCACTTTCTGTTCAGAAAATATGGAAAACAGGTTAGTGCGGCCCATTAGTCGTTACGTAAACAATGCTATTAGCTGCATAGATGTGTGCGACATATTTTGTCGTTGTTAGCGTTAGAGAAGCAGCCGTTGTCCAACGTACAGTTTTACATTATTGGCATTAGAATCTTTAATGTCAGAATGCAGGATTCTGGGAATCCTTTCTGTTAATACTCATCAACGAAACGTCCAGTTACCAGTTCACGGCCAGATCTTTTAGATGTGTTTAAACAACATGAAAACATTAGCGTAAAGTACGGTGGTTTCCTGTAATAAAGACAAATCTGTCTGCTGTGTCTCAGTATCATTCTGAAGCTAAGGACAGTCTCATCGTCTGTGACCACCATCGGCTTCGTTGTACAGTCAAACCAACGTCTTCTGGGATCTAATTTCGAGATGGGCCACGATTGGCTGTCTAAAGATACCGTCTTCATTAACAGTATTATAAATACCCAACGGATCTTCAAGGACTGGTCGTCAGAGAAGTTCCAGGGTTATCGGTTCCTTAGTGATTTTTTTTTTCCCCTCCAGGGATGATGAGGCGTCAGGTCAGGGCTCATGTACCCTCCACCTCCTCGGTCCACTTAACTGTGGGAACGACCCGGTCAGGTTTCAGCTGAGTCAGAGACGACAAGTCTGTGACTCTTCTGGTCGGTCATCAAAAAAGACCGACGGATATCCGTCCATTAACATGTCTGTCCTCTTCTGTGTCCCCTCTTCTCTCCAAGGTTTGGAGTCCTTGCGAGACAGTGCCCACTCTACGCCGGTGCGTTCAGTGTCCCACAGCGACTCGTTCATGCCACGCTCCCGGAGCCAGGCCACAGACTCCAGCGACGGAGTGGCGGTCCTCTCCGACGAGTCCTACAGCCCCTCCGACAGCGTCATGCCCACCCCAGTGGCTGAACACTCCATGGAGCTGGCCACCGCGCGCCACGTCAACGGAGCACCCTGCAGCATCGAGGAGGAGAAGGAGTCCGAGGCCGGGACACCCATGTACGGGGAGTCGGGTGACTTTAGTGCGGATGTCAAATCTGGCCCGGAGGCTGCGGCGGGGGATTCGGCCCTGAGTGAAGTGGAGCAGGTGAACAAGTTTGTCCTGAGCGTCCTGCGTCTGCTCCTGGTCACCATTGGACTTCTGTTTGTCCTGCTCCTGCTCCTCATCATCCTCACCGAGTCGGACCTTGACATAGCATTTTTGCGAGATATCCGACAGACCCCAGAATTTGAACAGTTCCATTATGAATACTTTTGCCCTCTCAGGCGATGGTTCGCCTGCAAACTACGCTGGATTGGAGAGCTGCTCATTAAGCCAGAATGAGGCTGCAGTGTTGCTAAACCCATTTTAGGAGGAGGGTTTGGGGGTTTAGGGAGGCGGGGGGGGTACTACTGAGTGACGGAGGGCAGACTCATCTCAATCATGAAACCCTGCTCCCACCATCGTCCTCCAGGAGACAAACAGCTTGGACCAGAATCTCCAAACGTCCACGTCTTCACTCAACCCCCGGCAATTCTACTTTTTTTTTTTTTTTTTTCTACAAGTGCAGTAAACGTATCTGCTGTTTTTGTTTCAGGTCATTTCAGGTATTTTATTTTTCCAGATAAAACAAAGGAAAAAAAAAATAGGTCAAACTGAAATGGAGAATTTTGAAGAGCTTCTTTCTCGAGAACGAGCGATAGAGGATCTGCCTTCAGTTTCTTTTCTTTTTTTTAAAATTTATTTTCTTTAAACATGCAGTATATATTTAGGTTTTTATGTTTTAAGAAAAGCAGAAGAGATGAATACCAGGAAACTAAGAAAGTCGTCGTGACAAGATGGAAATGAGGAAGTTTGTATTTTGATTATTTATCCTGTTCAGGAGGACAAGAAGAAGAAAATGATTAGAAATCACACTGGACGCCTGGAAAAACCGGGAATCGATGAATTTGTTACCAAATGCCTTTTTGAAGAGAATATCAACGACTTTGGGTTTTGTGGAATGTTGTAAGATCCGAGTTACACTTAAAATAAACTCTGGTCAAGAAAAACAAAAGTGTTTCCCTAAGGTTTGACAAGGTAAATAAAAAGCAGTAACAATAGTGTTATAACGTGGTTTAGTCGTGTTCACTAAGAACAACCAGACACTGTTAGTTGATAGAATAAGCCTGTGATGTTGATATGGTTTTGAAAAAAATGAAGGAGTATTTTCAATGTGCTCTTCACATCAGTCTTTTTTTCTTTTTTTTTTCAAACTCACCAATCGCTAAGCCCCGACGTTTTTGTACAGCTTTAAAATACAAACTGTGCCCTATGAAAATCTAGACAAGAAAAAGCAAAGCAAGACAAAAGACAGGAATGTTGGAGGACCAACAGCAGCCTCTGCTGGCTGGTTTGTGTCAGTGTACAATAGCGGTGACCCGCGATAAAAATCAGTGAAACATAAACAGATTCAATGACGTTTTCAGAATGGCCAAGTTAAAACTAAAGCTAAAGGGTCACGAAACAAAAGTGAACCACAGCGCCACCAACTGGCAGGTAAGAGAAACCATTCTTTTTAGGCACAACTTTTTATACAACAGCAACTCACTGGTTAAGAAGTCAGGCCCCAAAAACGACATTGGCAGGTAAGAAAAAACGTTATTTTTAGGCACAACGTTTAAAACCACATCAACTCAGTGGTTAAGAAGTCAGGCCCCAAAAACGCAGAATTCTTTATTAGGAACTAACTAGTTAGCCTTGTTCGTTAAATGTGATTGGTCAGTCCGTACTCTGGAGGAGGGGTCTTAGCGATTGCTTGCTTGTGTAATCAGCATATTTTCATCAAGTTGAAATTCAATGAATTTCATACTTTTTTTTTTTTGGTTAAAAAGTTAAGTTTGTTTCGTTTTTCTGACGACAGGCTGATTTACTTGGTTTATTTATGCTATAATATTAATATTAAAATAAGAGCTACTATGTACTTTTTGTACAAATAATATATATATATATACATTGACAGGTTTTCCATGTATATTTTAACAGAGGTAAAAAAATGTTATTTTGTTATTGAAGATTAAATTATAATTTTTTTAGCACTGTGTTTCCAGTCAGGTTCAAGGAATTCATGGAAGTGACGAAGGTTTTTTAATTATTATTATTTTTATTTAAGACAGATCATCGCCCAACTAGCAGACACAGTACGGTCGTGTGATTGTTTCTTAACAAATACTCAATAATCCAAACATAAATTATACAATTATCACTTGCATTACTTGAATTTGTGTTCGTGAGCCTGAATATTACGACTAAAACGGTGTAATTTATTCAAGTACATTTTAAATGTATCGACTTTAGCTGGGATTTACTTTAAAAAAAGAAAACATCAAAATCACTGTCAGACTTTTTTTTTTTTAATTTAAAATAACATTTCCCAACTTTCAGTTGAATAAGCGACAGTTAGAGGAGGAAATAATTGTTGTAATGTTTCACTTTAGGTTTTTATTACAAGCAAAAATAAAGCTTTCTTTTTTCAACAAAAAGACAATGTTTAAAGATAGTACCTGCCTTTTTATTGGTTGTTTTAGGCTCCACTATTTCTGGAAAAAAAAAATATTTTTTTTGCATTGTGTGTTCCATCTCCTGCTCCAAGGTCGGGTGTTTTAAGTTTTAGTGCGAGTTTTTGTGAGGAGAAATGGAAACAAATTACGAGATTACGTTTGGAGAAGAAAACGTACAGGTGGTGTTTTTGATGGAAATAAACTGCAAAGACGCAGCAAAGAAAGTTGAAAGGCCGTGATAAATAAAAGGAAAACGGTAAATAGAGCAGGAGGAAATGAGGCGTTCAGGTGATGTTTGTGTTTTTTATACGCTGAACTAAAGACATTTGGTGACTTTTGGTTCTACTGGCTGTACTGGTACTGTCACAGATTCGGTTTGATTTATTTTTGTTCTACCGAGTTGGACTTTAAGGCGCACCACACACGCAGCTGCAAAAAATCAATGACCAATGACAGACAAGAAAAGTTGCCGGTGGAACCAGATTTTTTTTTTTTTGGTTCCATAATAAAGCTCTGGCATGGGGGCCAAAACTAGCACAAACACTAATAGGAACATGATCTAAATTTAACGAATAAAAATGATCGCCGTAGAGTTTTTTTTTTTTCAATTTGGTTGCTATGGCAATGCGATCAATAATAGCAATAATGACACTTTTTCGCAACTGCCCTACTTTTCAAATACTACAAAAAAACAAACAAACTGGGTTTTCAGGTGCCCTACAGAAACTTTTTTTTTTTGTGGCTCACAAAAAAACAAGCTTTTAACTACAGAAACTTTTTTTTTTGGTGCTCAGAAAAAAAAAACACAAGATTTTAACAAGCAATCTTCGGATTTCAACCACGCCACGGGCTGTCCCAGAAAAAGAAATAATAAAAAATTACAAAATAGAATTTAAATAGTTGTTGTAGAGCCTTGTGGTCCAGACAACAAATATATTCCTCCAAAGCAGTTCCAACAAGTCCAGCTAAGGATTGACCAAACAGTTCCAGTCACAAGTCAACACCGTGGCCACAGAAAAGTACCGAGCTGATCCAGAACTCTCGTCCTAGTTTTTCTTAATTATATATATTTTTTTCCAATCAGCAGCAGATGCAGAAATAAAGCACATTTCTTCTGACGAGGTCGAGACAGAGAAGACAGGTCGACTATTCACTGTTTGTGTCTTACCGTCCTTTCATACATATATTTTTTTACTTCATAAATGACACACAGTCCATCAGGAGAGGCTGCTGTGTCATTATTCAACGCTGACGTTCAAACATTTCTCAGCACGGTGTAGCCTCAGTGGTCTCTCCGAACAGGCACCGACAATAAAAAAAAAAAAAAAAAAAGAGGCAGCAACTTTCACGGACCTATAATCTGCTGTAACGGCAACAATATGTGGTTTATAAAAGTCGCGTTAAAAATCCGTAAAAAATGACGAATGATTTCCGGAGAACTGCGACATCACTGTGGTTCTTTAAAGGTCACTTAAAAGTGGGTTTTGATGATGGGAGATTTTTTTTTGTTTTTTTTTCCTGTCATGAACTCCGTCTGCGTGGATGTTCTGCTGCCGTTTACGTCATGTCTGGATCCCACCTGACGTGGGTTCAGATGCTGTAACTCGACTCCACCGCGGTGCGTCAGGTGGAGGAGGAAAATGTATTTATTTGTCTGAATTTATCCAAACTGTGGCAAATCCTCCAGTACATTTTTATTACAGTGGATGTGTCATCTTTATATTTATATATATTTATATATATGTTACTGTTCTGTTCATAATGGCTGTTGGCTACAGTTATTGTGAAGAGGTCTAGAACTACTTTTTTTATTTTTAACTCCATGTATAATTTCGGTATGGTCTGTATTATTACACGGACGTTGGATGATGCATGTGGTTTTGGGGGATCTGTGATGTCATCAGTGTAAAGTTACCTGTAACAGGTTTGTACCACAGCCTGATAGAAACAACGTAACATGACATAAAGTGTACGCCTTCAACCATTACGTTTTATACGAATATATGTATGTATATATGTGTATATATCTATGTGTGTATGTATATTTATGTTTATATCGTTAACACACATATACACTCATATATACACATACATATTTATACATAGATATATATATATATAAATATACACATATATCCCTGTGCCAAATCCTGCTCTTGTTCGGTCCGATCCATTCCAAACTCATTTGTACTGCAGTACATTGACCTTCTGTACACGTCAGTATGACAGTAATAAGAGTTTTTCTCCAATTGTCCCCCCCTTGGTAACTGGTGCCATGAACTAAAACTATTCAAACGTAAATAAACACTGAATAAAAAAAACATTGTGATACGACTTCCTGCGTTCGTTTGTGAAGGAACACAAACCAGTAAAAACCTTCAAATGTCAGAGAAGCCATTAAAATTAAGGTTTAGTTTTAGTTTAATGTAGAAAAACAAAAGTAGCTGCTGAAAAGTTCTGGACAAACACAGACAAACGAACACAGACGAATTACAATTTACAATTACACCCCAGGCTGTTCCCGGAAACGAGTGCGTGAACAGTTCTACCTCACGTGTGAGAAGGCGGGCTTCAGGAAAGGTCGGTTATTGTTCTGAGGGATCGGTGCACTCATGAGCCCCGGTCTCCTGACTCCCGCATCACCTGCAGCTGAACCTCTGGATCCGCGCCCCGCGGCTTTAGAACCACCCCTGGAGCCGGAGGACGACCATGACTTGTTGCCGTTGTAGCCTTGTCTGTAAACACGGAATCACAGAACGATGTAAAAAAAACAAAACAACAACAACAAAAAAACCCAAAACAGTTTCAGCCTCCTGCTGGATGAATTTACCCTTTTCTTTTCTTGGAGTAGTTAAAGAACGGGGCTTTCTTCCTCTTCTGGCCCTGGCCCTGTTCTCTCTGGTCCCTGAAGTAGGAGGACGCGTCTGCGTCTTCCTCATCATCGTCATAATCTATATTGGCGCGTCCTCGCGTCGTGTCTATCCAGCCGTCGCCGTCCGGCTTCTCTTCTAAGATTTAAAAAAATATATAAATAAATATAAAACTCTAACAGAAACAGGATAACAACGTCTTAAAACAAATAGACACATATAAACAAAAACAGCTCAAAGTTAGAACATATTGTGATTTATATATATTATTACTCAAATATATTTTTATAGTTAATAACTTTACTTTTACTATTTTATTTCTATTATTATTTCATATTGTTTTTATTGAGTAACTGGTAAAATACTCAATACTGACCAAATAAACGTGATTATTAAAAATACGAAGTTGCAAGTAAGGCGGACAAATTAAAACACCTAATTCAAGAAATGTTTTAAGTTAAGGAGAAGGAAAAAAAAAGAAAAAAAGAGGTCCACTAATGCATTGTTTCCCAAAGACTGGGTCACGACCCTCAGGTGGGTCCCAAGAAATTATTTTTTGGGTCGTCTCGCATCATGTTTCTCAGGAGTTTACGAATAACGTCTATTG